AAAAAAAAAAAAAAAAAAAAAAACGTGCATCTCACACGAGTGAGATTAATGTTAAGAAAAACGACACGACGTAAATTGCAAACACGCGAATTACTCGAATTTCTCGAATTTAATAAATTCGTAAGAATTTACTAATAAATGTTGAGCGTACGCTGAGTAACTAAAGAAATAAAATGCCGAGTAATGAAAGTATTAGACTGATTAGCGTTATAGATAGTTTCGCCCCTTTCAACGGGGCAACGATTTTGAAAATAATCATGATCCGAACGTATTAACGATTCGATGTAATTTGTAATTGCAATTACATCCTATTATCGATGTAATTACACGGCTAAGTTTTCAACTGCTTCAACTCTCTTTTCCCTCGATAAATTTCTATATAATGAAAAGCAAGTTCAATTGGATTCTGCGGGTGATGCTTAAAAGTGTTCCACGCCGAGTAGAACCGAGCCACTGAACTGTACCCTGGAATTTGGGTTAATTACAGTCCCCTAAATCGAACACTTGAAACTTGGAATGTTCCACCGGACGGTGTTAAAAACCAGTTTCCGTCCGAGTTGAAATCGCATATTGTTATTAAACCGATCCATTATCGGCCGGTGAACGCAGCAGATCCGCGTCTGTTCACTTTGGCGAACATAGTGCAACCGTTTGGCTGATTTGCTGGCCTTTCACCGATCCGTTCGATCGTTGTACATACACACACATATGTATCGACCGATCGATCTTGTCGTGTTCTTTGATCGAGAAGATTGACGAATCCTCGTGATTGAGGTGGGTCAGTCAGTGATAGCTTTTTCGGAGCAAATGTCTTTGACCAAGTTATTCGAACCATTTCGCAAATCTCGTATATATATTAAATTTCATCACGCGATTAGTAATTGTTTGTTGAAGTTGAAAGTATACGATTCGTGCAACTGTAACAAGCCTATGTCTGTTGGTTTGAAATTAGTAAAGAAATAATAGAAGGAAAAGATGGTGCAACGATGCATGAGCGTTTTACAATTGCTGTTTTTTTTTTTTTTTTTTTTTTTTTTTTTTTTTTTTTTAAATAAAAACCTTTCCTAGCGAACTTTCTTAAATGCAAATGCGACATTTGATAATCGCCAACAGAAAAAAGACAAGAAACGTGTTTCTTCTCACGAAAATATTCGTAAACACTCGTGCTGGCAGGATATTGATACAATATAACAAGTAATTTCGAGATTTCTCCAACACTGAGAACGACCATCATGATTATGCCGATTTTGAAATCTGGCGCTGTTGGTACAAAATATTTATTGCAAATGTATATTTAATCCGAAGCATGTACAAGTGATAAGGATGATTCCACTGATTGTGACACTGTCACGCTGAACAAAATCATTCGCTCGCAAGGATGCTCGATACTGAACCACATCGAGAATTACGTGTAGACGTAGAAAATCTTTGCCGACTTCCGCAGTATAAGAGTCGATTGATTATCACCTTCGACAAAACGTGAAAGAGATTGAATAATGACGATGATAGCCAGCGGTGGAATAGTCGATTATCAAATGTCGTTGCATAATCAGAGCAAACCCGCTAATCTGTTCGCTTGGTTGCACCAGCTGCTTATGGAAATCGGACCATTTCGCATGCCCCCGTGCCCGTCGTCCCCTCCGCGTTCACGGTTTGTGGAGAGCAAACACGTTGTATGTACAGCGAATGCGATTACCGTAATATATCGACGTAACTCGGTGAAATTGCGAAATTACTCTTCCTTCTCCATTTACCAGTCACGGATGATAGAAACATAGTCGAAGGTCGGCACGTTCCCCTATCAAACGTAGAGCCATCACACGCGAGGAATAAACGGAATAATTAACACGTTCCGTGCCGAGCCACGTTTTCCCTCGACTTTTCATTCAGGCCATTTGATGTTTTGATGACTGAAGATTAGAATGGCTAAACGAGATTGGAATGGCTTCCACGGAAGAATGATTCGTTACGTCATCAATCTATAACTAATTAGCGTAGTTATCAAGTGTATGGAATGGTTATCACATCGTGTACCACCGGCGGTACACGCGACCTGAATGGAAAGTTTGACAAGTACCAAGTCAAAATGATTTGTATTTGATGGTATTTGTCAAAGTGTAAAATAGGGTCCTACAATCTGTTCATCGACCCGAATGGAAAGTTTAACGTGTACCATCGGTGGTACATTTTATTTCCATTTATCAGAAGTCGAAATAATTTTGCATCACGGCTACCTGTACCAATACCAGACAAAATGACTGGTAATTGTCAAATAGGGTCCTACAATCTGTTTACTGAGCTCGAATTAATCAGTTTCGTACTTGTCACACGTTTTTAGAATTTATATTTATGCTATCGTTCGATCGTGATGGTGATAATTATCTGGAAAATTGCGCATTTTCTTTACTAACTGACGACCATATGCTTGAAATGAATTAGAAGCTTCTCGAGTTTTGGGTGAAAAATTTGGAATCTCGTATGCAAACTTCTTTTCCAAAATGATTTTACCGAAATATTGAGATATATTCGCTTTGGTAAAAAAAAAACAGTGATAAAATCAACGTTTAGAAAGTGATAGATTTGCTTCGATATCAACTGTATGGGATAAGTTTATTCAAAATAGTCAAAGTTGCTACCAACTAGGTGCAAATGTTGCAACTGACCAGCAACTATTTCCATTTAAAGCCAGATGCAGATTTATTCAATATTTGAAGAATAAACCCTACGAACTTGGTATTAACTTGGTACTAACGTGAGATTTCTTCTGTAAGAAAGTAATAAATAAATATAAAATAAAAGTAATAAATAGTAAGTAATAAATAAATATAGAAAGTAATAAAGTAATAGTAAATATAGTAAATATAATAAAAAATAGTAAATATAGAAGAATATAGAAGAATAATATAGAATATAGAAGATAGAAGAATATAGAATATATAGAATATATCTATCTATATAGAATATAGAAGAATAATATAGAAGAAGAATATAGAAGAATAATAAAGAATAGTAAATATAGAAAGTAATACAGAAGAGTAAATATAGAAAGTAATAAATATAGAAAGTAACAAAGAATAGTATATATAATATAGTATAATATAGTAAATATAATAAAGAATAGTAAATATAGAAGAATATAGAAGAATAATATAGAATGTAGAATATAGAAGAATAATATAGAAGAAGAATATAGAAGAATAATATAGAATATAGAAGATAGAAGAATATAGAATATATAGAATATATCTATCTATATAGAATA